ATCAGAGCATGTATGGATTGACATGCATGAAGCACCTTTGGGAATATTAGAAACCAAACATGTTCTTTTCTCGAGAAAATGCATCTACCGAGGAGAACAGCTTTACCACCTCAGGAAAAGACACAGCTATTTTAAAGAGTTGCAGGCAGGGTTGTATGTATATCCTCAGCTGTCTGGATCACTTTGCCCTTTGAATCTGATTTTCTATACTGAGTTCTTCCCTATTATATTGTATAAGTAATATTTATACCCCTCTTTTATCTATGTAGGAACTTCACTTTTTCCCCTCCAACACCAAACCAGTGAAATAGGTTGGCCTAGGATAAACTGACTGCCCCAAATGAGTCACCCAAAGACTTGTCATTCCTAATAGTGGCCCTAAAGCAGGTTTAAGAGAGAACCTGGAGAATCCACAAAGAGAGATAGGTTAGGCTTCAGGGTAGGCTCAAAACCAACAGTGTCATTGTTATGTAGTGTCTGGGTCAAATGTCGTTCAACACTATAATCATAATCATAATCATAATCATAATCATAATCATAATCATAATCATAATCATAATCATAATCATAATCATAATCATAATCATAATCACAATCACAATCACAATCACAATCACAATCACAACTTTATTGTCATTGTACGTGTATACACAATATATCCATATACCAAAATTCACTTAACACCCACAGACCAGGTCCAACACACATAACAATTCCCAAACACACACACACACACACAACACAATTCCCCACTCCTAAACCACCCAAACCTCCACACAACAGACCAAGTAATTCTGTCCAACAGTTCACTGCTGGTGGCCCTTTAGTTCATGGTTGAGTGCAATTATAGCTCTGGGATAAAAACTATTCAGAAAATGTGTGGTCCGAGTTTTAATTGTTCTGTATCTTCTGCCAGAAGGCAACAGTCCAAAAAGATTGTAAGCAGGATAGCAAGAGTCTCTGAGAATGTTATGCAACTTCCTCAAACAGTGAGATTCAAAGATGTCGTCCAGGGCTGGTAGCTGGAGTCCGATGATATTCTGGGCAGTTTTAATGATTCTCTGTAGAGCTTTTTTGTCTGCTACAGAGTGGACATACTTATTATGTCATTATTATGTCAATATTATTATAATTAGACATTATGCCATACTTACCATTGGTTCCTTTCACATGAAGTACATAGGGCAGCAAAGCTTCCTCCAGTGAGTTCTTTTCGCGGCAGCATCTTTGGCATCTTTCTATTTATTTATTTATTTTATTTTATTTCTATACCGCCCTTCTCCTGCGGGACTCAGGGCGGTGTACAGCCAAGATAAAAACATAGCGTATAAAATTTAAAAACATTTTAAAAACAATTAAAAATTTTGGCCCAAGTTTAAAACAACCCAATTAAAACCGAATTAAAATTAAAAACTGAGAGGATGGGATCAAGCCAGCCCAGCTAGATGGAATAAGTGTGTTTTCAGGGCCCGACGAAAAGTCCGGAGGTCTGATATCGTGCGTATCTCAGGGGGCAGGTCATTCCAGAGGGCAGGTGCTGCCACAGAGAAGGCTTTCCCCCTGGGGGTCGCCAGCCGGCACTGTCTGGCCGACGGCACCCTGAGGAGGCCCTCCCTGTGCGAGCGAACCGGTCGGTGGGAGGCTATTGGCGGCAGAAGGCGGTCTCGCAAATACCCCAGCCCTAAGCCATGGAGCGCTTTAAAGCTATTTGATGTCCACTGTCCATAAGTCATCTCTTAATGTCTGATACCAAGTTTTGTGTGGTTTATCCCACCTCTACTTTCCCTCTGGTGAAGCCAGTTAGCCCTACTACGTATAATGAAAAAGCCTCCTTTAGACTAAAATTTTTATCCACTTGTATCTAGGGGGAGGCACAGGGGCTCAGCAGTTAAGACCCTGGGATTGTCATCTGAAAAGGCGGCAGACTAGGTTCAAGATCTGGGCACCATGTGACGAGGTGAGTTCCTGCCCTAGTTCCTTACCTAGTTCTTGCCAACCTAGCAGTTTGAAAGCATGCAAATGCAAGTAGATAAATAGCTACCACTTTGATGGGAAGGTAACAGCGCTCTGTGACATCATGCTGACCACATGACTATGGAAATGTCTTTGGACATCTCTGGATCAATGGCCTTGAAAACAGATGAGGACCACCCCTTATAGTCAGCAACTAGCAGAGTAAAATCCACAAGGACTCTTTTACCTTTACCATATATCTAGGACTGCACCCCATTATATTCATTGGAACATGCATACATATAATGATACTATATAATTAGAGCCTAGTAATTATCCTATGGGGAAAGAAACCTCTAAAGCACAAAATATATTTTATTAGTCCCACCAATGCCCAGAAGGGATAAGGTTGCTTTCACTGAATGATGACATAACATTCCAGCTATGGAATGCAAAAATATCTGTCACTTGCTGACAATTAACCACACATATAATGCCTGCCATATGGAATCTAGAATTAATATAAGTGTTTGCAAGATAATCCAAAGCGATGAAACAATGATACATTTGTCTGCACAAATAGAAAGCGTGCCTAGTTGAGGTAAAAATAGAGTGGCATCCCACAGAGATCATCACACGCTAGCTGGCTGCTCCAGAGGACTTGCCAGTATGTTGATTACAGCTGAAAGAAAAGGAAATTGCAAATTGGTCTCAATTTAATCTACAACAAACATGTTTAGAAAAAAATAAATGCTAAGTGGTTATCAGTTTAGACTGGAAGGGTTTTTTTCCCTAAAAAATTCAACACTCTCATTCAATATATTTAAGCTTAATAAATTAAATGAATAGTGAAGTTCAGCATTGATTGAAGGGACAAAAATTAGGTTAGAAGGGAAAGCTTACAATAAAACTTACAATTTATTTATTGACTAAGTTGGGTTTGACACATAAGGAAATTCAGTAATTATATTTTTAAAAACCTAGATACTTTTTTTTTGTTCTATTTCAACCTATTTAAAAAGACAGCATGCAAAATCAATGCTCTTACTTGCATTGTGTTCAAATTAAACTCCCCCCCCCTGACGTTTAGTAATATAGAAAGAATCCTGGTGAAACAGGGGGAAAAGTCCCCCTTAACCTTCTGGATCCAAGAAGGCCATCCAGATGCCTGAGGCAAACACATAAAGGGAACATGAAAAACAGCATTTCCTATCGAGAAATAAATTCTGTATATTCCAAGTTAAACTTTTGAGTATATAAATTGGGTTCACAAACAAAGGCTTTTTTGGAAAAAGAAGACACTGTCCCCATCTTTATACAGTATTAGTGTCTTCAGATATTCTCACTGTTTATTCTTTTCAAATCCTTCATCTAATATACCTCCAAGGCTCATTATTTATGCTTTTCTGCTTCAACCTAAAAATAAAGCTGGATAGCTAACCTCATGTCTGGATGGTCTTTTTTTTTTTCTGAAGCAGAAATTATTTTATTGTTGCATACAAACGGAAAAGACATCTCAAATTATTAAAGAATGCAAAACACTGGAAAACTGAGTGATCCCCACCTTGGCACATGATTTTCCCCAACCCCATCCCATACATACCGCACTGCACATTTAATTATTGTATTCAAATAGGTTATTTGATGCCTTGGAACAAAAATTAAAGAATCATAACAGCCACACACTGTCAAAAGTCCTAACATTCAGATCTGTTTTGTTCTTCTAACCCCGTTACGCAGCACTAGGGATTCGAACCGCTGAACTGGCAACCTTTCGATTAACAAGCTCAGCCACTGAGCCACCGCATCCTTTAAATATTCTACTAGTACATCTCTATTTGATGATGTTCATTGATTGATTATTTAAATAGTTATACTTCTAGTAAACAGATTAAAGATTCCTTCTTACTAAGCTTGACTTTTTGACATCTCTGTGTAATTTTTTAAGCAGATGTAATACCAGCAAATTACTGCAATGTATGATATAAATCAAGGGGATATAAAGGGGAAAGCAGACAATTGGCTCTACTCCTTCAAATATCATTTTTCATGTTCAGGGTTTTAGATCGTTCTTCAAGTCTAATATCTTCCTAAATTCCAGTTCTTTGAATATTTGAAAATTCTTCTCTTCTTCGGGCTAGGCATTTCACATTCCTTTAAACTTTCCCCAAGGGATTGTTTTTCATATTCCTGACTATCACCACTGTCCTCCTCTGAATGCATTCCTGGTTAGCAATGTCACTCTTAGCATCTAGAACTTAGTACTCCAGATCAAATCTGATTAATGTGACATACATATACTAGCTAAGGATAGAAGGATTCTGATTTAACATAGTGAAATCTGATTGGAGATGTCTAGCTAAGTGAGTCTTTAAACTGTACGAGAGCAGGGGAAGACTGAGTTAGTGCATGCCTTGCAGCAAAATCACTTCACGGCGTGTATTATTTAGCAGGGGACAAGATGGCTTTCCCTTTAATCTGGAAACCTGGATTTATAGGGATGGAACAAGAGCATTCAGAAGAAAGACCATAAAACCCAAAAAGCCATATTTCTTCTTCAGAAAGTAACTTTTTTTAACAGCTCTGTTAGATGCTCATTTGCAGTCCCATAGTAAATTTTTGTCTGCGCTGTTTATGAGCCTTTCCATTGTCTTCCTGTGGCAGAGGAGCCAGGTGAGTGGCTTTTCAGGGCTTTGGGGGTGGGGGGGCGGACGGCCCCGAAGCCGCAGGGTGTGATTTGCTACACGGTTCTTTTGAAATATAATCTTTGGTCTGCTAATGTGCCCATTAGCCTTGATTGCCTCAGCTGAGGGTGGTAAAGATTCTTGTAGTGAAACATTTTGGAGAATGCTCCTGGCTCTTTCCTTTGATATTCCCCCCCACTGCAACAGCAATTTGCTTTCCTTTCTTCTCCTATTGTTGGAGCCATTTTATGTTGCCATAAGCAGCACAGTCTATCACTTGGGTGTGACGCTAGCAGCCTTTTCAGTTTCTGGTTGCACACACATTAGTAACAGCACTCTGTCCTTTCATTTATTCCACATAATGGCTTTATTTCCTTCCAGGCACCATTTTTATATTTAGCAAAGCAATATGGCCAAGCACCATAAGTAATAAAGATACATTTTCTACAAATTGCATGGCCCACTTAAGAAAACACTATGCAGGAGAACTGGAAAGGACAGAGAAGAATCAATAAACATTGAGATGGCTAGACATGCCAGATCTGACAATATGAATTGAACAAACTAGGCCATCATAACAAGGATATTTGTAAAGAAGGCCAAACGGGTTGAAGTAAAGATACAATTTTCCTGGACTTGTTCATAAGTGGTAAGAAAGTTTGATTTATTATTAATATCTTACTTTTTAAAATGAATGCTACAAACTTGGCATGCCTATTCACCAAACTATGGTTTTAGCAAACATATGGAAAATAGTTGTTACCATGAAGACCCATTGGGCTACAGAAGAAATTCCACCTGAGATATTGTTCTCTCTAAATTTTTTCTTCCTATTTATGTCCCTTCTCTGGGACCTGATTGCAACTTATATAATAGCCAATTTAATTATTAAAATCATCTATTTTACAATAGGCATTGGGATATTTTCATGAGGATTGAACTGAGGGATTCAATATTTCTCTGATTTATTAGAGGTTGTTCTAGAGACACTTGCAATTGATATTATGACAACCATGAAAATTAGAACAAAGCAATTAAAACTCAGCCATAATGATCTGAGAAAGTGTTGTCCTTTCAGGCAAAAAGATAGGTGTGAGGTGGAAAAGTAATCTGTCCTGCAAATAATATGTTATTTAATGTTAAATATGTGGTCTTCCACATATTTTGAGCTTCCTCCTTTCCTTAATTTTTAAATAGCAATGAAAAGAGGACCTCAAAAAACCCATCAGAATCGAGTTGCATTTTGGTGGCAGAATCATTTACATCACAATCTGATGGAAGAGAATATTTGTAACCCAGGGTTAAACTGTAGGATCTGTGATACTCTTTGAGCTTGGTTGTTTTCATTACCATAACATCAATAGTGGCAGTAGGGAGTTGGGGTTTACTCTTTTTATTATACTAGTGGCTTGCCCTGTTAAATGATTGGTGATTCCTTGATTAGGCTGTTATTTACTGCTATCTTTGTTGCCTAATTTAGTAGTTCTGTGATTGAGGTATTGTTTACTTTTTGATTGTTGGTCTTCTTGATTATGTTAATCTCTTCTCATCTGGATGTTGATTCCTAGTAAGGAGGTGTTTTGGTCTTTTTGTTTCCTTTTTGTTTTTTTGATTATCTCTTTTGAATGGTATGTATATGTTGTTTATCACTATGTGCCTGTTGATGGCTGATTTGTCTCAATGCCAAGCTCCAGGAATTCCCTAGTGCCATGATGGTGAACCAATGGCACCTGTGGCATAAGTGGCATGCAGAGCGATCTCTCTGGGCACACAACATGTCACCCATTGCTCTTCCAGGTTCCGGTGCGCCAGCCAGCTGGTCTTCATGTGTGCAACAGCGCCAGAAACTGGAAGAGCAGCTGCCTGGCATCAGGTCTTTCAGTTTCTGACATGCATGTGCTTCAGGGGTGGGTTCTAAATTTTTTTACTACCGGTTCTGTGGGCGGGCTTATTTTGTGGGTGTGGCTTGATGGTCATGTGACAATTCTTTAGGATTTAGCAGAGGTACTGGTCTACCAGGCTTTTAAGTGCTTGCAGAGCTGTACCAGTCTACTCATTTGTTTTTGGAGGCACTGGTCTACCCATTTATTTTTGCAGGCACCGGTCTACTCATTTATTTTTGCAGACACTGGTCTACCCACTTATTTTTGCAGGCACCGGTCTACTCATTTATTTTTGCAGACACTGGTCTACCTACTTATTTTTGCAGGCACTGGTCTACTCATTTGTTTTCTTTTAACACTGATCAGCTGTAGGGCGGCCCTTTGAAGCCCTGCAGTAAGAGTTTAAACAGTTTTTTTTCCCTCTAGCCGATCAGCTGGGACTCAGGAGGCAGCAATAGATTGGGGGTGGGGCCAAATAAAAGGTAAAAATAATGCAGGGGGCTGGGGGGCAAAACCGGTTCGGTGATGTCATATCGTCACCACTACTGGCTCGGCAGAACTGGGCCGAACTGGGAGGAACCCACCACTGATGTGCTTGTGAAGACCTGAAACCTGCGTGCACCTGAAACCAGAAGATCATCTTCCCGGTGCGCATATGCATGAAGACAAGCTGGCCAGTGTTGGAAGCCAGAAGAGAAAGGGGAATAGAGCTGCAGCCAGGATGGGCAAGCCGGGCTTCCCTCCATCCCCGCCCAAGTGGGCTTCCTGCATGGCCCCAGCTCTCCAGCCCATGGCACCAATGCACGTCTGTGGTTTGAAGCGCCTGGCTGGCTCGGGAGCAGCAGGGCAGCATTTGCTGGCTGGCCTCCCAGCTGCCCCACCTACTGCTGCTGCCACCACTGGAGGTGAAGGGTGAGGGGGCGGTGGTGGTTTTCATGCTTCCTCTTACGGTTGGGATGCTGGAGCAGTCAGGAGGAGGAGGAGGAGGACCCGCCATCGGAGAGATGAGCTCGTCACGCATGGAGATGCTACTGAGGGACTGGCTCGTCTGCAGGGGAGAAGCTACAGGGGCTGGCCAGTCGCTCCTGCCCCCACCCTGTGTCTGCCACTGCTGCTACACCTGCAAACTATCAGCAAGTCAAGTTGTACATTCAGGAGAAGGTGGATTTCTGCTCTGCTCCATTTCCAGATTGAAGGAAAGGCATTCAATAAAGGAAACTTAATAATGTGGGGGGCAACCTAAGGTGCATTTTTCTTCCTTTATTTAACCAACAGCATTGCCTCCAGCATTTCCTATCCTCTGAATTTTTTTTTAAAAAAAGCCTTCATTATAGTTTTGAACCATGAAAGCCAGGACCGTAAAGCCACCTTAGGATAACCACACATTATTAAGTTTCTTTTATTGAATGCCTTTCCTTCTATCTGGAAATGGAGCAGAGCAGAAATTCTCCTTCTCCTGAATATGCAACTTGGCTTGCTGATAGCTTTCAGGTGATAGTTTCCTTCCCATAAAAGCAGTTTCTTTGGGTGAATATGATTGGTGGAGATTGTGATGCACACTGCAGCATCTCTGAACAGCAAAAAAAAAAAAAAGGGGGGGGGAAGCAGATTCATTTATACAACCTTTCTAGTATTGATAGCCATACAACCAGGTGCAAAGGCACCTTTGGCATTTATATACTTTGCATATGAAATGACGTTTGTTATGGCAGGGATCTATATAAAGTATGTGATAATTCTTCTAACAAATCCTTCCTTTGTTAAACAAATTATGAATTAAAGAGTGATAGGACATGTAATACGTAGGATGATCCTCACTTTTTAGGGTAAAGACAGAGGAAATATATATTGATGGAGGGGGTTTTGCCGCCAAAATTGGAATTTACTAATCACTGGTTTAAATGAATTGTGTGAATCAAAATTACCTTCAGATGACCTGGGTATTATTTAATGAAGACTCCCAAGGATTTTTTGGTTTTTTTGAGAAAGACATTGAATTACCTCCCTGAGATGGAAATTGATGAGCAAACGTTCATGAGATTATGACACAGAATCATCCTATTCCCTAGCAGAGGCTTTCTGAATGCACTTTTTTCAGATGTAGAGATTTCCCTTCCTTTGCCGATTTCCAATTCTGAAAGATGCAAGTCTTACTAGTTTAGTCAATAACCCAGTAAAGTGCCCAAGTTTTAAAATTAATGTCATAAAGCCCTTCTTACATTACAAAGACTCCAGTGTAGATGATCGGCAGTAGAATTTTGACTAAAACCCTGGGAACTCAGTTAAAAATCTGAAATTAAAGAAAACCCATTATTAGAACATTAGCTTGCTTTGAAGACTTTGCTAAACCAAGTTTTCTGTTTCTCCCTTATTTGTTCATTGTGTTTGTTTTTCATGACCAGATGAAGCAGGATAATCAATGTATTGGGTTTGTTTGTGTTCTTGACAGAGAAAGCAATATATTTATTGGTTCGATTTATATGCTGCCCATTTCCGGAGACTCAGGGCGGCTTACAATGCGTTAAGTAATAGCCTTCATACTTTTGTATATACCTACTTAGTAGGGCTTTCGCCCCCCCCCCAGCGGTGTTCTTTTTTATACAAAGTCAGCTTATTGCCCCCCCAAACCGGGTCCTCATTTTACCTACCTCGAAAGGATGGAAGGCTGAGTCAACCTTGAGCCTGGTGAGATTTGAACTTGCAGTAATTGCAGGCAGCTGGTGTTACTTAACAGTGCTTTAGTCTGCTGCGCCACCAAGGCTCTTTTTAATATATACATGCATAACTAGGGGACAAGTGTGACTTGAAGGAATCTTGACTTTAAATTTTACCTCAGGGTTGCCATTTCATTCATAATATTTTTCCAGAACTGATAAATGCCTACATTTCTATCATCTCTTAAAGTAGGCTGTATCAATATTTGTCTTTCACATGTTTAATTTCAAGTCTCAGTTTGTCAGCTGTGGGAATGTTGCAAGTCAGAGTTCTAACATCGCTAGAACATCAGATTAAGGAAAGCTGCCTAACAGTGTAGGGTTGCTGTTTTTTAACCAAGGCCTTTCTGTACTGGAATGGCAATAGAGTAGTAAGTCATAAACACTGTGGCCACTATAGGCATAGTATATAAGAAGTTACCAACTAAAATTTGATTTCCCCCCCCCCTTCACATTCTATAGAGACATTTAAGCAACTTGTCCCATTATCCATTTACTATAATTGCCATTTTTCAAATTGGATTTTTTTTTAAAAAATGAAAAGTCTATTTGAAAAAAGCTACTATTACTATTGTCATACAGCAATATATATTATTGTTATACAGCAACAAAATATAGCCATTTTGAATAAATTATATCGAAAAACTCAGATGGACAAGAGCAGCATACCTCTTAATGGAAATCAGCTTCTTTCTCAGATGTGACTTGCTTATACTGAGTATTTCTGGATCAGTAGTTTGTCTGCAAATATGGCATATGACTGATGTTGTAGGTATTAAGGAAACTTAATGTGAGGCACCAGCAACCAGAACCACTCATAAATCTCAGGCAGAAGCTTTAGCATTAGTCACCTATGATATACACCTATGATATACTGACTGCATTCCTTTGGGAAATGTTAGGTAACGCTTCAGGGGTTCCGGTGAGGTCAAGCCTGGATACTTTCTGTAGCACAGGCACTCTAAGCTCGGTCTCCTCTTAACACATCCCTCAAATCTTGCTGGAGATTTCACCCCATCAACAGAACCACACCAGATTTTTTTGCTATCCTT